TATTGAGAGAGGGAGAAGGATATTTAAAAGCAGAGAGAAGCAATTAATCATCGATGAGACCGGGACGGAAATGGAAGGGAAACCAAAATATGAGAGAATAAAAATGCAAGCAAGTAGCTATAAATTAAAGCACGTTCTTATAGGTCATATACAACAATAACAAGTTTTAACTCAATTATTTAACATTATACTCATGAGTTTTGCAATCTGCTTCCGAGTTACGATATTCAATATCAAATAATTGAGAATAAGTCATGCATTAACTTCTAGGGTTCGCACCCGTTTTGGCCCATGAGTATAATGTTATGAAGATTCCACAGGTCACACGTGAAAGAAAAAATTTTATTTCCAGAGTTCCTTGTTTTCCTTGTTCCAATGCTCATCATTCTTTGAAGTATAAACTCAACATTATTCCCATTTTGAATTTCTAGAAATAAACTGTACCCCTCTCTTATTTTGGTTGACCACGTGCATCCATCGCGGCCCCTTGTAGAACTAAACAATTGCTATAACAAGACATGTTATTTTTTGGGTGGTTAACATAACTATCAAGTTAGGATAAGCCATCACTTAGCATGTGTTTGGTTCTGCAGCAGAAACATGAGAAATATTACTTCCTCAGAAACCAAGAAAACGCGGTTTCCATTGCGGAAACAAACACACCATTAGGGATTATAAACTTGCATTCACCACTGGATCAAATCAAATGTCAAAAGACCCATACACAGATTAGACGACAAGAAATCTCTTCGTGCGGATCAGGGTTAATTAACCACCAATGTAAGACTTTGTGTGAGGAGGATTTGATTTGAACTAACACTTATGATTAAGGGGTAAGTTTTTGACAAATCCTTCAACCACTCTTGTGATATGTGATGGTTGCTATCATGAGAAACGACATGTAGGGTAGAGATGCATTGACCTAAAAATTTAATGAGCCCACTGAGAAAAACTCTATGGAGTTGGACTTACTATGATTTGATTTTTGTTTTTACAATTTTAAAAAAGATTGAATTTCTTATGAGTAAATTGTCGTTCTACATGACTTTATTCTATATATAAAATTATTAATTCTTTCATAGATTATATTGAGCAACTTTGGTCAGAAAATTATTAGAAGATCAACCAAAGCCAAAATACAAATTTCGAGTTAGACGGTAATAATCCGACATCCGCAAGCAGTTAAGCACCCAGAGTTAAAGGCAAAAATCACCATCACCATTAATGTCGCCCAAACTGACCCTTCTTTCATTTTCGTAAGCAGGGGGCAAAAACATAATCTTATTTGCCGCCCCACACCACATCCCAAGGTTTGCAATAATATGTAGAAATTACCATGCACGAACACAGATTTTTTTCTTTCCCCTCGAAGAAAAAAAATCTGTCTAGGGAAGACAGATCCGCAGATTAATTAAATAAAGTTACAAAGGTTTAGGTTGCTCTGACATACTGTGCACTATGAATCTTGATTAAATAGTATATGATGATATCTTAAGGATTATGGCTGGAAACATGCATATGGGTGTGATAAGAAATTACATCTGAACTTGATGGAATTTGCGCGGGTCATTTTTAAAGAAACAGAGGCAGAAAAGAAATATCTGTTAGTACACATGATTTTCATTTTCTTTTTTGACTTCTGGGACACAAACAACACCGGCACGAACAAACAACTTTTTTAAGGAAAAATAAAGCATAAAAGGTTGAGTAATTCTCCATAAAATGATTGGTACTGGATAATATCTTAATAATCAGAGAGAAGGGAGAATCCAGAGGAAGGCAACCCATTGGAAAGAAGTGAGATATATTCACATGAAAATCTCCATCGGCTGGAAAATGACAGTGCATGTGGACAGATTGGGAAAGGAAGCAATCTGTGAGATTACCCGCCACGATTATTATACTTGAAGTATCTACACAGTGTTAGATATTTATGGAAAATGCATGCGTACGATTAACATTTTCTCTTTTTATCAAATTATCAATATATATATATATATATAGTCGCTTCCTCGCTATATGATAAGTCAATGAGATTTTTAGATTCCAACAATTTTTGATATTGGATATACGAATAATTAGTAGCAAACAAAACTCGCTATCATTCTCAGAAAACTTTCTTAATTGATATTTCTTTTCCCCTTTTTTCCAACGGATATGCATGTTGATCGCTGAGAATAATGTCCGTTTTAATGAGTTTGGGTCCCCAACATATTCCAAGCTATGCAATTTGCAGACACTTTCATTACAGGTATATATCTTATTAGCATCAACGAAATTGACCATTACGTACAAATTCAAATCAGAAGATAGGTCTAGAGCTTCAAAATCATCTGCAAAGGTGAGGTTAATTTCCACTCAAACACAGAGCAATGACAAAATGAGTTCAACTAGACCTTCGTTCAACATATTTGCTGCTACATCTTAATAGCTGGGCAGTGTATGATTAATTGATTGCATGAACATGACCCGTATATCCATGTTGGCGCAACTCATATTCTTTGTCTAAGCTTGGAATTGGTTATGAAGAAACATGTTGCAGAACTCAGTTAATGAGTTAAAACTTGTTATTGTTGTATATGACCTATAAGAACGTGCTTTAATTTATAGCTATATATAGCACCATATAGGTTGAAACAAGAAGTGAATAAGATGATTTGGATGGAATAATCAAATCTTGACCATATATGAATGTGTCTGTGGGGAGAGGCGGTTTGTGTGTTTGCAATAGAAACTTGAAGAAATGAAGCTGATATATGAGCGGGAAGCCAGTAAGGATGAGGCATCGCTGTCAAGCTTGTTTGCCCGGTGGGCCGTGACAGTGGCTCCGATGGCTTCGTGTTTGGATGGCGCCGAGAAGCATCCGTGGCAACCTCACTACGCTCCAAAATGCCACTCCAATGAGCCATCCCTCCATGCAATTCGCATTTATTAGTGGGCGTCAACCTTTCACTTCGTCCTTCGGGGACCCCACAAACAAATTATTATATTCATTCATTTCTCTATTCAAACTCACTCTGCTATTTACATCTCATCATTATATATTACAGAGTTTAAACTTTTACCTGTATAAACCTCGCCCACCCCTTATATATAATCTGCTTTCATAACGTAAGAGACATTTACTGTTATAAATAAAAGGGATTCGGTCTACTAAATTACACACACACACACACACACGGTGTTGCTTCTGCTGCGATAAGTTTTGTTCCCTCTAAGAGTCATTTTTCATGCTGGTTACTATCAGTATTGTCCTTGTTATCAAAATTTTTGGGATATAACGCAAAATATGCTATTGGATATTGACAAGCAATCCCGATGGAGACGTCCCGCAAATGGCTTCTTGACATGTTCCAAGGGTCACATTGTCTGTGACAGAAACTCTTGAATTAATTTCACAAAGTTTCTGATCTTCTGGTATTGCGACGATCAAATATCACAAGAATTAATTCAATGCTTCGCAACTAGGGTTGTGTAGCTGTTCTTATAATGTTAGTGACTCAAGAGGTGGAAACATTACGAAAATTGGATAGAATGGAGAGGAAGATAAGTGATAAGAAATCAGAGGCACGCATTAATTAATGAAAACGAATATGATCAACGGAGCCACGTGCTTATTGTTACACACAAATGTGGAGGACTCTGGAATTCACAATCTGTACAACTATACCTTGGAAGGCAAACTTGAGCTGACGGCAAAAAAATATGGATATGGACGTTGATATGTAAAGCTAAGCATTATTTCTATCGCCATGGTCTACAAGTGAGTGTGTTGTGAATCTGACTTCGCTTCTCTTGTGGCACTGATTAGTAGTGATGTGACAAAGATTCGTGGCTCTAAACTGTCTTGGTTTCATCCCCTTGCAGATCCCACCGTACAGAGGAATCAACCAAATAACAAAATAAATATAATAGATGTGTGTTCAGAGTGTGGGAGCCAATGGAATTAGAGTGAGTGAGTGTTGGCTTTGACCCTTAACTATGGCCTGTACTTGCTTGTCATGTACAATATCTTGTGGGTGTGATGGTGTCTCTCTCGCTTTGCTTGACTATTAAATAATCTTATTGGGTCCACTTGAGTCACTGACTGGTATATATGCGTTACTAGTTAATTTTCAGAGTTTGTAATTAGAAAATTGCGCCTACTATCGCTGTAGCGGCAGTACGTAGGCAGTGAATAGAGTGACTGGGTCACTTGTTTTGGTCTTACTTCAATTGTCTTGGCTTGACTGGGACATACTATGCTTCATTTGACCTTAAGGACACTAGCTAGCTCCTCTCTCCTAATTGTCTGCCTCTCACCCTGCGCGGAAGGGTATGTTCTCGTCGTAATTATGAAGATTAAATCAAATCAAATCAGTATGAAATTAATCAACTAATCATAAGATTATTACGAAACCCTCATTAGTATTGTTCCAGTCAATTATAAACTCATTGAGAATATAGCAAGCAAATTAAATACCAATTTTAGAATTAATTACAAATTAGTTCTTACTTTTTAAGAATTTAAATTAAATTACAGCATTTCGATTTTAGCATAAAAATTAAAATATTTTATGAACCATATATACTTAATTCATTTCACATAAATATGATGTGATATATAAAATATCTCGATTATTTTTATTTTTATATTATTTTATATTTATATTTTTTTTAAAAAAATACATATAATTATTTTACGCAATGTATGTGAAATGTAGTTTTAAATCAGTATGGCTCGTAAAAGAGTGATGATAGAAGTCGAATTCTGGATCCCTTCCCCGTCCAAGAAGATCCCCTTTCCACCAATGCACCACGTGGTCTTCCCTTACGTGTATCATGAGGTCGAACCACGTACATACCAAAGGAATTTAAAAAAAAAAAATGGGATGAAGAAAACGGAAAATAAAAAAGAAAAAGAAGAAAAGGAAAAGGCTCGCCCTTCTACGAGCCCCAACTCTATTTATACCCGGTTGATCTCCCTCCCTTTCTTCCTCAAACCACCCATTCACCTTCTCTCTCTCTCTCTCTCTCTCTCTCTCTCTCTGTGACAAAACAAACCAACAAACAGAACTTCTCTTGCATTCCAGTCTGAGACGGCCTAGAACCTCCATGATCATGGCGAGAGCAACCCCAAGCTCCGGTTCTACATGGGCTAAACCTCAAATTCCTCCTCAGTTGTCATCGTCTTCTTCATCACTTGTGGACTTGGGCTTTCCCATCAAGTCCATCTCCTTCAACAAGAAGCCCATCATTCCAAGAAGAGCAAATGTTCAGTGCGCTTTAAACTCTCCTTCCATATATCATCCCTTCTCCAATCAAACCTATCCCCAACCAGTAATCCCCAACGATAATAACCATGCAGCTCCTGCTACTAATCCCAATACTGACCAATTTCCTCCTTGGAATCCCTTACAGAAAGCCGCATCAATGGCCTTCGACTTGGTCGAAAGCGCTTTACTCTCACGCGAGCTCCAATACCCGCTCCCCAAAACTGCCGACCCACGCGTTCAGATATCGGGAAACTTCGCTCCCGTCCCGGAACAGCCAGTCCAACACTCCCTCCCCGTCGTCGGGGCCATTCCTGATTGCGTTGCTGGGGTCTATCTCCGAAATGGCGCCAACCCCTTGTTTGAACCCGTCGCGGGCCACCATTTCTTCGACGGTGACGGCATGGTTCACGCCGTTGCCATCAATGGCGGCGAAGCCAGTTACGCCTGCCGCTTCACCGAAACGGAGAGACTGGTTCAAGAACGCAAGCTCGGCCGTCCGATGTTTCCTAAAGCCATTGGCGAGCTCCACGGGCATTCGGGTATTGCTCGACTGCTTCTCTTCTACGCCAGAGGACTCTTCGGCCTCGTCGACCACCATCACGGCACCGGAGTTGCCAACGCTGGCTTAGTATACTTCAATGGTCGCCTTCTTGCCATGTCGGAAGATGACCTCCCTTACCAAGTTCGAATAACTCCCTCAGGTGACCTCCACACAGTTGGCCGTTACAGTTTCGACGACCAGCTCAAATCCAACATGATTGCTCACCCCAAGGTCGACCCGGAATCCGGCGAGCTCTTTGCTCTCAGCTACGACGTTATTTCGAAGCCGTACCTCAGGTACTTCCGATTCTCAGCAGACGGCCAGAAATCACCGGACGTGGAAATCCCCTTACCGGTCCCGACAATGATGCACGACTTCGCAATCACGGAGAATTTCGTGGTCATACCGGACCAGCAAGTAGTCTTCAAGCTCCAAGAGATGGTCACCGGCGGGTCCCCGGTAATCTACGACAAGAAGAAGAAATCGCGTTTTGGAATTCTTGCGAAGAATGCCCGGAACGCCTCCGACATCACATGGGTGGAGTCGCCCGACACTTTCTGTTTCCATCTTTGGAATGCCTGGGAGGAACCCGAAACGAACGAGATCGTGGTTATCGGGTCGTGCATGACGCCACCGGACTCGATTTTCAACGAATGCGACCAGAATTTGGAAAGCGTACTGTCGGAAATCAGACTGAACTTGAGCACGGGTAAGTCCACGCGCCGCCCCATAATCTCGGAATCAATGAACTTGGAAGCGGGTATGGTGAACCGGAACCGACTCGGGAGGAAAACCCGGTACGCATATCTCGCCATTGCAGAGCCGTGGCCGAAGGTGTCGGGCTTTGCGAAGGTAGACCTGTCAACAGGGGAGGTGAATAAGTACTACTACGGCGACAGAAGATACGGCGGGGAGCCATTTTTCTTGCCGAAAAGCAGAGACGGGGAGGAAGATGAGGGGTACATTATGGCATTCGTGCACGACGAGAGGACATGGAAGTCGGAGCTCCAGATTGTGAACGCCAAGGATTTGATGGCGGAGGCGACAGTGAAGTTGCCGTCACGGGTGCCTTATGGTTTTCATGGGACATTTGTGGACGCCAAGGATTTGGCAAGGCAGGCATAATTCTGGGGTCCCGACTGCATTTGTCAAAAGTTAGTGGGTCCGTAATTCTGTTTTCTATATAATTTCAAGTTTGGAGTGGAAAAGGAGGATTTTATTTTTACCGGAGGGATGAGCAGAGAGACAAGTCCCCGGATTCTCCTGGAATAGAAGATAGACCCCAGAACTAAGATTTTGTTTTTATTTGGTTTTGTGCTTCTTCTTCTTTTTTCTTGGGATATGTATGTTGGGAGCCAGTTTGTAGCTTTTCCTCTGTAGGTAAATCTAGCTCAGCTGGTTTCTGCTTTCCTTGCTACCTTTGATCCACTTGTATCTACACGTCATGAATCCTATGTTTTAAGTTCTGTTTCTTTTGTGCCATATTTTTTTTTTATTAAGTGCAATTTTCTCTGCTTAACAATTTAATACCCCCAATCTAATTGTCCATATATATATATATATATATAGATATTAAAAATATTTGAATTCTGATACATCCACTTATACCTCAGTAGTCGGTGCTGTATCTTTACATTACATATAAACTAGTTTAAAGTTCAATTTATTGACGCAACATAAATTGGTGAAAAATCAAGTGTATATATATTTCAGAACAATATAATATATATAATTTCATCCAAAAAATAAGGTCTACGGTATACAAATTTTTTTTTTTTGTGATACTGTATTGGTTACATGCATTATAATTAGAGTAAAATATTATGACTTCCTCTCCTTTCCAAAAAAAAAATATTATAACTTTTCCTTTATTTTAATTTAATCATAGGTATATTCCCTCTATTTTAAAAATATGTACGAACTTCTTTTAAAATTAATAATTACTAAACGCAAACCTTCCTCTTACTTTCAGGTCAAAAAAAAAAAAAACTTCCTCTTACTTTTAAATTCCCATATGCCCTAATATTGACTGACCATTGAATAACATATATTTTTGATCGGAATACCTTTTTTTTAAATATAAAAGTTATCTAAAAATTATTTTAAGTCATCCAATGAAATTAACAGATATATTTTTACATTTTTACTCATATTTAAAATTTTTAATTATACAAACTTATTTATTTATTATTTTGAAAAATTAATTGAATAAATATTTTTATAATTTTTAATAAAATATTATTAACAGTGTTAAAAATGAAAAAAAAAATCTATCTGGCTAAAGAAAAAATCTCTATAATTTAAATAAAAACATAAAAAGAGATCATTATATTTTACTCTTTATGAACCTTGTTCCAACTTTTGAGGATGGCGGTTGACAAGTATGGATCAGCGCGTCTTTCTTGCGTCCATCACTGTACTCTCCGTGATGGGAGAGACTGATAATGTACCTTAGTTGTCACATCAAAGTTTATCATCTTATTTCGCGCCATCAGAATGCTTAATTTTCCAATTTATTATTTTTCAAAATGATAATAGAATTGTAGAAATATATTTTCTAGTCAAAAACAAAAAAAAACTATTTATATTTAAAACATTTTTAATTAAATTTTATTTTTTAATGAAGTAATTATTTATTTTTTAACTAAATTTATTTTTTTATATTTATTTTTATTAAATATCTTAAAATAAATAAAAAATTATTATCAATAGAAACACTTATAAAAAAATAATAATTATATTTTGAAAGATTAAAAAGTCTTATATTTTTAAATATCTAACTCTTTAAAAAATATTTTATATTTTTAAATAAAAAAATATATTTAGAGATAATAAAACTGAATGAAATGAAATTGTCGTTAGTAAAACATACATGTGGGGGGTGATCAACGGGTTGGGTTTTATATTTACTTTTATACTACTTTTCGTGTCTAATATTCCTTCTGTTTTTATTTGTTAAAGAAATTATCTTTTTTATTTATATTTTTATAAATAAAATTACATATCTCAATAAATATTTATTATAAATTTTTAAATTATTTTTATAATTTATATTAACAATAAACAATTAATACATGCTTATATTAACTAATACAAGGTATTTTAGTTTAATTTTTTATTTTTAAAAATAATTATTATAGTTAACCAATTTTTCTTAAACTATGTAATATATTTTTCTCTTATATATAGAAACAATGAGAGTATAAGGCAACAATACCTATTTTTACACAAACAAATGAAATTGATTAAATATGGTCATACTTAAGGGTGAGCAAAACAAAACAAAATTGATCACACCAAACTTATCCAATAAAAATCAAATGAAACCAATCATTACTAAGGCTTGATTTGGCTTTATAAATTTAAAAACCAAATGATTTGGTTAAAGTTTTAACTTTTTTTATTTGAAACTTTAACCAAACCTAAACCATACCTTTCATATTTTTAAAAATATTTTTTCATGATTAATAATAAACTATAAGTTCTCTTTTTATTTTAACTCCAACTAAAGTAGAACCAACCCCAAAATACTTTAATGCTATGTTTGGATGTATAAGGATTTGAATTTAGATTTGAATTTGAGCCAAATAAATTATTTGGATAATTAAAAATGTTTGGTTTGAATTTGAGTCCTCAATCTCTATATAATTTAAAATTCTTTCTACACCTTTATTATTTTAAACCCTACCTCAATTTTTGTGTAATTTGATTGGCCCGTTAGTGGTGCTGAACAAGACTAGATTGCCAAGAGCGACTAGGATAAGATTGCCACCATCGTTGACTAAGACCGAGTCATAGTCATCAATCGGGACCGAATAGCCAACTTCCATTAGGACTGAACCATCAGCGTTAATTAGGACCATATGACAAACCTTTAAATCGAACTATCGACACCAACAGGGACTAGAGTTTAAGCCATTACCAAGACCAAATGATGACCAAACTACTAGCATTGACCGGTCTTTTATCTTAAACTTATCCAATCTTAGCTGGTGTTAGCAATCCTATCCTAGTCAATATTAGAGGTCCTGTCTGGTCAATGCAAGTAGTCAATCTCAATAGAAGTTAGTCATTCGATTACGATCTTTACTTACACTCTAATCCCGATCAATGCCGACAGCTAATCTTGGTAGAAGTTGAAACATCCCAAGAATTGAAACTTAAGTTGTACCCTAGTCATTAGGAAAAAAAAAAAGGACCAATTGAAAGGTTGAGTATTCTTTAGGATAAGGTAGTAAGCAGTAACCCTGGATTTAGAGGTTAGTGAGGAAGGAAGTGTTTAGAAAAAAGAAGTCAAAGGAGTCGTATCTAGTAACTTGCCTAGGCAAGTGAGTGCACTCGCTAAGGCAAGAATTGATCAACTTGCTAAGGCAAGTGTTATCTCGCTAGGGATGAGCAGTATAATTCAAGAAATTATAAATACGCACGTTAAAAAAACACATTTTAGACATGGTGAAACACTTTATAGAGTGCAAAAAACCCAAAGCTCTGCTAAGATTTCATGATTTGCAACCGAAAGGGTATACTCTAAAGGCCAAATACGCCAAAAGTAAGTCTCCTAGATCAAATTCATGCCTTCTACTCTTCTGATCTTAGGATCTGATGATGAAAATTTGTCCTAGGTTATATCTCAAATTTGAATTATTGAGGGTTAATTATCTAAGTCTCAAAAAGAGTTTTAATTAATTCGTTGATTATATTAAACCCATCTATAGATGGAAATAGCATTAGAGAGCGCTTAGGTTTAAGTACTATAGAACTCAAGGATAAAGAGATTAAGACATTCGATCTCCTAAAAGTTCAAGGTAACTAGGAGCATGCTATGTTATATATTATAATCTATAATATTACCTGGTAGATTAATTATGCTATTTTACCAATCACAATGAAATTTGAATCTAAGTTATGAAATATGATTTTGAACGGTAATATATCATTCTGTATGACTCTATGAGTATCATCTGTATGTGTAAAGCATGTTTATATCTCTTAGGAAATGTGTTATAATATGAATTGTTATATAAGAAGTCTATGAATCATGGAATATCAGAAGTGATGTAAATAAATGAACTCTAGGATACGATATTGCTATAGGATAAAACTGCATCTCTACATTTGATTATCTGAATGCATGCATAAATTTAGGAGTTCACCTGTTACAAGAATAGTTGTAATTATGAAAAATCCATAGTATATTAGTATGTCCTACTAAGGTCTCACCCCAATAGTGATTCACACGTGCGCGCATGCACACACACACTCACACACACACACATATTGAAATGTGTGCTTAGTTTCACTGCTTAGATTGGCAGTGTTAGTTAGGAACTTACTCAGTTTTACTACTTAGATTAGCATTATTGGTCGGGCGTATGATGACACATTAAGGTTTAGTAAGGGGAATCTATGGTCCAAACTTAAGTGAGAATGCCTTTGGCCGAGCAATCCCTCATGTTTTGCAGAGCAAGTCTGGCTCAGTTATATGAATTGTAGCTATAGTTAATTGTTCATGGGTTCAGTCAGAGGGAATAAAGAGGTTATAAAGGAGAATTTAGCATGCATGACTATGAATAACTATTTATGAGTTATTGTGGAAAAAAAATGTTTGATATGTATTTTGATAAATGGTTTGTATGTGGTTTTAAGCTATACTTATTGTTATATGCTATTTGTTACTACTATTGTATATGATATTTTAAGTATCTTGATTACTGAGATTTTGTATAAAATATCACCCCATTACATCTTATTTTTCTAGAAGGGGAGCAAGGCAAGGAGGAGGTTAAAGCCTCAAGAACTGAGTACTAGAGTAGTTCTATACTCTGGTAAATGTTTGTAATGTATTCAAATGATCAATTTTGCCAACTATGGGAACTTAGAAGTATGTTTAAATTATTATAGAATATTTTATTCTAGTACTTGTGATAATAAGTTTAGAATATTTTATTCTAATACTTGTGGTAATAAGTTTAATTGGTATTTTTATGACCATGAGTAAGTATTTATTACTTTGACATGTATAGTTGAGTTCTGGCTCCTCTATATTGTCAAACTCTAGTTGATTTAGGAAGTATGCTTGGAAAGTTAAGAAAAGAAAATTATATAAATACTATGGGATTATGATATGTGTAGAAATGATCATTAATATTTATGGACAATTATATTAATGTTTTATAACTTGTTCTAGCTAGATTTGTCATAATTAAAGGTTAACCAATTAATTAATTGTAAATCAATTAAGCCTAGTTATGAAGTAATTCATGGTGTTGGATTGTTTAAGGAAAAGTTATGTAGTGGTAGGCAGTAGTGACTTTGGTCATTATAAAAGTTAGTCATTTAGTCTTGGTCTTTGCCTACACTTAAGTCCCAATCAATGCTGATAGTTTGGTCTCGATTTTTGCCTGCAGCGATCCTAATCGGTGCTGATGGTTCGATCTTAATAGAAGTTGGTTGTCTAGTCTCGATCTTCCC